TAATCTGCATTTAGTAGAGAAATGGGTCTATAGTTCTTAATTTGTAATGGGTCGGCCTCCTCTTTTGGAATAAGTGTAATATAGGCTTCTGACCATGATTTTGGTATCTTCTTCTTTAACATAACTTCATTCATAACTTCTAGCAATGGAAGATTCAACGATTCTTGTAATGTTTTATAAAATTCTGCCAGAAGTCCATCTGGACCTGGTGGCTTTCCATTGTTTTGCTTCTTGAGTGCTTCAGTTAGCTCCATCATCGTTATATTGCTTTCTAATATTTTTTCAGTCTCTTTAGGTATCTGAGGTAAATTAGCATTCTGTAAGTACTGCTTAACTCTTTCCTCATCAATATTCTCTTGCATATATAATTTCCCATAGAAGTCTCGAATGATTTCCTTCTTCTCTTTGCTACCATGGCAAACTTGGCCTTGGTCATCTATTAATTGCAATATTTTCCTTGATTCTTTCTCCTTTCTCAATTTGTATGCTAACCATCTACCTGGTTTGTTTGCGTCTTCAAAGTAGTTCTGTTTAGCACCTCTAATTTTCTGTGCTAATTCTTCTTTTTCTATTTGACCCATTTTGTGTTTAATTATATCCATTTTTAGCTTGATGTCCTTTTTCTGTGGCATTTTCTGTAGCTCTTTTTCAAGTCTTTTATGCTCATCCTCTAGGGCCTTAGAGGCTAGCCTTTTCATAGTATTCCTTCTCCTTGTATAGTCTATTATCAAGCCTCTGACATATGCCTTCATTGTATCCCATACATTCTGAATTGATGTATCTTCTTTTTTGTTTTCTCTAAAGAAAAAAGCCTATTCTTTCTCCATCCACTGTGTGAAGTCTTTTTCCTTTAAAATAGTATTATTTAACGTCCATCTAGATCTTCTTTTTTGTCCTTTCCATTTAATTGTCATCGGATTGTGATCTGCCCAAGTACTTGTTTCAATATTTATTTCTTGAATGTTAGATATTAATTCTGTTGACATCCATATCATATCTATTCTGGACCATGATAAGTGTCTGTTTGAATAGAAGGTGTATTGTTTAGTTTTAGCATTTCTTTCTCTCCATGTATCTTTTTAAGTTTATTTCATCTACCATTTTAAATACCATGAAAAGGCTAGCCTCTAAGGCCCTAGAGGATGAGCATAAAAGACTTGAAAAAGAGCTACAGAAAATGCCACAGAAAAAGGACATCAAGCTAAAAATGGATATAATTAAACACAAAATGGGTCAAATAAAATAAAAAGCAAACGTAGAGATTGGACTTCCAAAAGAAAAAGAGAAAAAAGAAAAACAAAGACAAGCTCCAACAAAGCCAAAAAACCCATATAGTTATTACAAAAAAAAAGATAAAAAAAATACAATAAAGCTGGTGAGGAGGGATAGCACAACTTAGGAAAAGCAAAAAGGGCACACCGCACTTTGTTTGATTATCCAAGGCTCTTATTATAACTCTCTTCTCCAAAAACTTATCACCTTTCCCCCCCCACGTTTCAACACCAGACTCCAGCTGTTGATAGAAACCCCGAAGAGCACCTGCAATAATACTCTCCCATGCTCTTCCCTCTATCTTATCAAATAGCAATGTCCTTGAAAAAGAGTCTCAGTTCTTTCTTAGCTTTGTCTGGTCACAGGGAATTATAATATTTTCAAGCCTCTAGTTGGCAGTGTTACAAAGTTTCTTTGTAACACCCCCTCCTTTTCCAAGCAGGATATAATAAGAATTAATAAAAAAAGAAAAGATATTTTTTTGAAAATGAAATAACTAAAGGGAGCCTCTAGCCTAAAATATTACAAAATCAAAAAAAGGAGAAGAAAACAATAGATATAAACGAAAAAACCAGTCCAGTTTCAAAATACAAGATCGTATACAGAAAATCCAGCAATGAGAAAAACGAAACAAAACATTACTTTGACATTCCTGTTTAAAATCTCCGCTTAATCACTTCTGTCAAAACTTTTACAGATTCTTTCTTTTCCTTAGGGTGTCCTTTCAGATCTTAAAATAAAATAAAAAAAGTTCTCACCAAACCGGCACACTCTCTCTTTCCGTTCTCTTTCATTTCGGAGCTGTCCCAACTTCAGCAGCTTTAATGGCTGCCTCTTTGCCGCTGGCAAGAAGAGCTTCTCCTGGATCTACCAGGGACTTTGCGGTATCCCTGGGATCGACAGGATGCGCTCTTCACTTTCACCATCTCTTCGGGACGGTTTAGATCCGTTTGGACCGTCCAGGAGCAAAGATATCGGCAGCGATCTCAGACCTCCGAGATCGCATGCCGTATCGTCGCGACGCCAGCTCCGCCCTCTCCAAATGTGAATTATTTTTATCGGCTCTTTCAAATAAGGTAGCCAGGATGAAGTGTTGGCCTAATAAACACTTAATGACTGATTTTGCATTATCCTCAGCACCGCAAAGAATGGGGCTTCGTTAAGATAATTAACTGAGCTGGCCCTGAAAGGATTTGTCACGCAGATAAATCCCAGGCTCCTTGTTTTGTATCTAAATAAAATCTAGAGGAAAAGAAGAAGGGAAAAAAAATAACTTTGGGCTCTTAATGAGAATAAGGCACTGGAGATTGTGTTTTGTGCGCCTGTGTGTGATTGTGTATTCTCTTCCCTCTCACATCCAGTAGTGTGGACTACTTCTTCTTTGTTCGAGGCCTCCAAATTTGACCCCTTAATGGCTCATGGACTTCAACTCCCAGAATTCCTCAGCCAGCCAAGGTTCCCAGGATTCTCTCTCAGTGTTTGACCGATGATTTAATAACAACACATTTAATAATTTAATTGTCAGCTTTGGAAGCCATATTAGCACCAGAAGCTGCCACATTTAAATGGCAATGGCAATAAAATACATTAATGCTGTCTGGGCTATTCTGGGAAGTTGAAATCCATATACAATCAACCCATGGAACAGAAGTTGCCCATGGAAGTTGTGGGAGCGTCATCACTTGAGACTTTCAAGAAGAGATTGGACTGCCATTTGTCTGTAATGGTGTAGGGTCTCCTGCTTGGGCAGGGGAGGTTGGACTAGATGACCTACAAGGTCCCTTCCAACTCTGATTATCTCTTACATTAAAATGACAAAAGTTGGAAAATTCTGCTCTATTTTAGCTCCTGACATACGACCCTCGACTTACGACCGCAAGGGACCCCAAAATTCCTCTTGTTAAGTGAGACACTCATTAAGTCTGAGTTTTGCTCCATTCTACGACCTTCCTTGTCACAGTCATTAAGTGAATCAGTGCAGTTAATAACCGGTGTTAAGCGAATCCAGCTTTCCTCGTTGATTTAACTTGTCCAGAAGGTCACAAAAGGGGGAATCATGTGACCTTGGGACCCAGTAATGGTCGTAAGTACGAATCAGTTTGCCAAGCGTCTGAATTATGATCATAGGGGAATGCTGCAACTGTCGTAAGTGTGAAAAATGGTCGTAAGTCTCATTTTTTTCATTGCCATCGTAACTTTTGGACGGTCACTAAATGAGCTGTTGTAAGTTGAGGACTACCTGTTACAAGCATTCATTTAGTGACCGTTCGAAAGGCAGGTATGAGCATTTTTCCCATTTAACAACAGTCCAAATCTGAAGGCTTGTCAATTGACTCGTACTTATGACAGTTGCTGTATCCGGGTTCACGTTTTGCGACCTTTTGACAAGCGAAGCCAAATTCACTTAAAAACCCTGTTACTGACTTCCCACCTGCAGCGATTCATTTAACAACTGAAGGCAAGAAAGGTCGTAAAACAGGGCGAAACTCCCTTGACAACATGTCTTGCTTAGTGATGGATGTTTGGGGCTCAATTGTGGTTGTGAGTCAAGGATTTTTCCTCAGAAACAAACACTTTCCCCTGCAAAATACAGGTGTGCGTTCTTTTGAAAAACGTTTAGGAGAATATTTGCTGGTTTCCTTTTCTGCATCTTTTCTGACCGCTTACGGCAGAATCTCTATATATAAAAGCAAAATTCCCCTCATGCATCATCACAAAATCTCCAGATCCGTAAAGCCTACAAACTTGTTACCTGTCAGAAATGGTGTAGGGCCTCTTGCTTGGGGGGGGGGGGGGGGGACTAGATGACCTACAGGGTCCCTTCCAACTCTGTTAATCTAATATCTAATCTAAATATATTATCGGGGAACTGTTAGGGGGGGAATTATGTGAGCAATGGAAATGTTGGGGCTCAATTAGCATCATAAATTGAGGATTACCTGAATATGTAGGTATGTATTTAGCATGCTGTATCTGTATGTAGGTTATGTATGTGAGCAAGCAACAAAATTTCTGTGTGCCAATGTGCCCACAGAAAAAAATGACAATAAAAAATCTATATATAAAAAAGCGAAATGCCCCTCATGCATCATCACAAAACTTCCAGAACTGTAAGGCCTACAAGCTTGAAATTTGGCCCGTAGGTTCTTCTTGGCTTCTACCGGCTCACGAAGAAAGGATTTTTCCAAATGACCCTCAGAGCATTTAGAGTATTTCCTATATTATTATTATTATTATTAACATGCTCTGATGCTAAGGAGTTCTACTCCCCTTCTGCAGCTGAAAAAAGAAATATCTTCCAAAGGCAAAACACAAGCAGAGGAGAGGCGTTTCACTTTCACAGCACCAAGCAGTTTTTAGTTACAGAACAGTTGAGCTAAGCCACGCCCAAGCTCCTTGCTGTCGCCTTCTTGCTCACGCAGCAAATACTGCTTCAGTTTCCAAACAGCCCTCAACTCTCTCACACACTGAAAGGACGCTAGCCAGATGGATACCGATGGAGGCTGGTAGGCAGAATTCCCCCCCCCCCCCCTTATTTTCTTCCCCAAAAACTAAGCCCGACCACATAGTTTCGTAGCGAAGCACATGGGTATCGAGCTGGTGGTTAATATGCTCTGTTTAGTACTGAGATATTAATTATATATATATTTTTTTAAAAAAAACCTTTGGTGTTTGTAAATGTTTCCCAAGCCTGCTTTCTGAACCCTCCCTCCTTTGTTCTTTTCCAGCATTTTCACATCCCCGACGATGAATCCTGTTTACAGCGCCGTTCAGCCTGGGGCCCCCTATGGAAATCCCAAGAACGTCGCCTACGCAGGTAAAATGATCTATAAAAATTATGCGTCGTAGGATGTTGGCGTCCTCCGGAGCCCATCGCATCCGGCACGATTCCCAGCTGGGTTTTTCTGATTCGGACGCGGGAGGCGGAGTTGTGCTAGCTGTTCAGGTCTTTTGTAAGAGAGCAAGAAGCTCAGAGAGCGACGAGGGCCCCACAGTCGTCGTCCTCTTCCTCCTCCCCACCAAGGTCACTCCCTTCTAACACTGATGATGTTACCTAGTTGGGTCATGAAACGTCTGCAAGAAAACCACCAAGCTCAGGGAGCACCAAGGACCCCACAGTTTTCCTCCTCCTCCTCCTCCTCCTCCTCCTCCTCCTCCTCCTCCTCCTCCTCCTCCTCCTCCTCCTCATACCCCTCTCTCCCTTCTAGCACTGATAATGTATCTCAGTTGGGTCATGAAACATCTGCAAGAAAACCACCAAGCTCAGGGAGCACCAAGGACCCTACAGTTCTCCTCCCCCTCTTCCTCTTCCTCCTCCTCCCCACCAACCCCCCTCCATTCTAGCACTGATGGTGTTACCTAGTTGGGTCATGAAATGTCTGCAAGGAAATCGCCAAACTCAGAGAGAACCAAGGACTCCAGAGATGATCTCCTCCTCTTCCTCCTCCTCCTCCTCCTCCTCCCCTCACCACAAACCCCCCTCCCTTCTAGCACTGATGATGTTACCTAGTTGGGTCATGAAACCTCTGCTAGAAAACTACCAAGCTTAGAGAGCACCAAGGACCCCACAGTCCTTGATTTTCTCCATAAAGGATGTAAATCTTGTAGGGAATTATTCATGTGGGCTGCAGACCAGAGGTCTGTTTTTAAAGGAGTTTTAGTTTGGGATCCAGAGGAATTACGCGGAAGGAAGAGGAGCGGGATAGACTGGGGTAAGCAGAGAAGGTTCTAGCTATAGCACACGAGACTAAAAGAATAAAAGAGCAGAGGCCACGCTTTTTAATTCGTAGCCCAGCTAACTTTTGTCTGTGGGTTTAGCAGGGACAAAGATGGCTTTGAATAGTATTCCCAAAGTATGTCCTTGACTTTTGCAATTGAAAAAAACAACAACAAAGAATTTTCAGAGACAAAAATTTTTTCTTTACCCATATCCTGACTAATTTTCTTGCCTTTACCAATCTTTTTTTTTCTTTTTGTAATGCAATTTTTTATTTTTTTTATAACACACATACAAAACAGCAAATAAAACCACTTTTCAATTGAAGAGTGTGTCGGTTTGGTACATATATCATGTGCACAATATAATCTTTTCCTCTTAACTTTACATTCGTGTTGTATTAATCAACTTTCCATTTCATATTTCATTATTTTACCAGCATTCAAATTTTAATCTCAATTCCAAGTTATCTTTAAGATTAAGTCTCAATTCTTACTAGATTGTATTCATAGTATGTAACTTATTCAAAAGTAATCAGTTATAATATATCATTACTGTTACATTGTATTTCAGTGTCTTACTTTTCTATCTAACCATTGATAAAATAAATCCCAAATCTTATAATTCCAATCTTTATTTTTTATTTTATTTTTTCAATTTTTTTTTTATTTCAATCTACATATAACAACAATACATTAACAGTGTGGCATCAATATATCATACATCTCTCACTGCATTATATTCATATTAATTCATACTTCTTCAATCTTTGTTTTCAACCTTACTCTCTCCAAATGCCTACCACCATATCAATTAAACATACCTAATAATTCCATTATTCAAGTTTCTTAATTCCAATCTTTATTGAACGGTGCACTCTGTAGACCTCAAGTTACAACCATTTATTTAGTAAATTGTTAAAAAGTCTATAATCAGACTTAGAAAAAGTCTATAATTAGAAAGACAGATAAGAAAGACATGTGGACAGATAATGAATAAATAAATAAACATGGATAGATATGGATACATAGATGGATAGATGATAGATAGATGATAGATAGATAGATAGATAGATAGATAGATAGATAGATAGATAGATAGATAGATGATAGACAAGATAGATGGATGGATGGATGGATGGATGGATGGATAGATAGATAGATAGATAGATAGATAGATAGATAGATAGATAGATAGACAGACAGACAGACAGACAGACAGACAGACAGACAGACAGACAGGATGGAAGAGGGAGAGAGAGAGAGGGATAGAGATAGATAGATAGATAGATAGAGAGAGAGAGAGAGAGAGATAGGCAGGCAGGCAGGCAAATAGTGTCAGCGTTCCAATGAAACTCCCCATTTTCTTCAGCACTCAGAAACGAAAGTTCATCCAAGTAAGAATTTATTAAAGAAGTCATATTGCCACATCTGGGACAACCCAAATTGGAGACTTCTAGGTTTCCCCTTCCCAATCGAAAACCAAAAACCCATCCCCTGCACCCACCAGTCCATCACATGACCCAATCAACCATCATCCCAACTGGAGACCTTCCTCTCCAGGTGCGGGGTAACTTGTCCTTGACTTCTAAGAAAGAATGTTGTTGAGTCTAATCTGCTCACTAAGAAATCCCCCCCTCCCAATTTCCCAGGCACTAAAATGTGGCAGCCTTGAAGCTTCTAAGTAAAATATGGCTTCCAAGGTTGATAGGTAAAGATAAAGGTTCCCCTCCTCGTACATCCGTGCTCGTCGTTTCTGGCTCAGCTCTGTCTCAAAGCTGAAGAAGAGCCACTGCTGTCCGAAGACGTCTCCGTGGTCATGTGGCTGGCAGGACTAAACGCCAAAGGCGCACGGAACACTGTTCCCTTCCCACCAAAGTGGTCCCTATTTTTCTACTTGCCTTTTTTACGTGCTTTCGAACTGCTAGGTTGGCAGAAGCTGGGACAAGGAACAGGAGCTCACTCCATGATGCAGCGCTGGGGATTCGAACCGCTGAACTGGCTGCCAACCTTCCTGATCGACAAGCTCAGCGTCTTAGCCACTGAGCCACCCACGTCCCTTGTCCAAAGCTGATAAATAATAGGTAAATAGGTATAGATAAGTAGGTAGGTAAGATACTCTCAATCTTACATGGGAAAAGACCGAAATACGCCAAGACCTGCGTATGTAGGTAAGTATAGATAGATAGGTAGATGATAGGTAGGTAGATGATAGATAGGTAAGTAGGTACATAATATAATAATAATAATAATAATAATAATAATAATAATAATAATAATAAATGAAACCCAACATAGTTATCTCATTTGCTTTGTACACTGTTGTTTTTGTGAATATAATAATAATAATCGCATTATGGTTGCAGGCAGGGGTGGGATTCAAATTTTTTAACAACCGGTTCTGTGGGCGTGGCTTAGTTGGAGGGCGTGGCTTGGTGGTCATGTTATTGTCTGGGTGTGGCCAACTCAATGTCACTCACATCGAGGCACGCATCTCCTCGCCTGGCCTCTCATGACTGTGGGGATGCTGCAACAGTCGTAAGTGTGAAAAACGGTCATAAGTCCCTTTTTTCCATGCCATTGTAACTTTGAATGGTCACTCCACGCAAGCAAAGTACCAGCAAAGGAGGGGAAAAAATACTCCAGAGAAGTTCCTGAGACAGGAAGTCTAATCCTGCCAAGAATGTAATGAGGCTTAACGGAGAGGCAGTTTCTGTCAGCAACACCAGAATGTTTCCTTCCTGCCTTCCTTACAGGATTAGCCCTGTAATTTCTTCTAACATCCGGTTCTCCAAACTGCTTAGAAGGTTAACAACCGGTTCTAGCAAATAGGTGCGAACCGGTAGATTCCCACCCCTGGTTGCAGGCACGTGAGGACGAAAAGGTTAGCCATCACTGCTATATGCCCTTACGGACGCAGATTCTCACACTCTTGTTTTATATCAGCTCGGGGGGGCACCTGAGGCTTCCCCACCTTGTTCAAAACGCGATGCCGTTCCAGTTTGAAGCTCGGCTCTGGGGTCTGGAGTGTTCATTCTCCCCCCCCCTTTCTAGCTCTTTCCGCCCAGTCTCCGTGGAATATTAACTGTTTTGTGCCCTAATCCTATTGCCACGGAGGGCCCAAAGGACAATAATTCACTCTAATAAACTCAAGAGGTTTTTTTCCCCCCCCCTGGGGCCTCTGTGATATAATTTAGCCCTTCCAGCAACAGCCACAATTTGATCCGTTCTCCTTTGCCGCTGAATGGGGATTTTAATTAAACGGTTCTTGGGGGGAAAAAAAAATCAATGGAATTAATTTGCAATTCTTTATCTATAAATATCCTCCCCCCCCCCTTACCGTTGACAAAATACATCCGTGATGTTCCTGGAAAAGCCAACTGCCACAATTTGAAGGAAAGCACTCCCAAATGTTTAGACAAAGGCCAGTGTTAGATATATTTTTGATCTGCCTGATGTACAGAAATTTTTTTTTTTATTTGTTCTGAAATTTATTTGCCGCTCATCTCAAGTCTTAACGGCTCTGGGCGGGTTACAGCATAAAAACATTAAAATAGTAAAATATATAAGACTCATTTGATCGACCTTGGAAGGAGGGAAGGCTCAGTTAACTCTGGGCTGGTTAAGATCAAACTGCTGGCAGTGGGCAGAGTTAGCCTGCAATACTACCTTATAACCACTGTGCACCATGGAGGAAAGGAAGGAAAGGAAGGAAGGAGGGAGGGAGGGAAGGAAGGAAGGAAGGAAGGAAGGAAGGAAGGAAGGAGGAGGAAGAAAGGAAGGAGAATGGGGAAGAAGAAGGTAGGGAGAAGAATGAGGAAGGAAAGGAGGAAGGAAGGAGAATGGGGGAAAAGGAAGGAAGGAAGGAAGGAAGAAAGGAAGGAGAATGGGGAAGAAGAAGGTAGGAAGAAGAATGAGGAAGGAAAGAAGGAAGGAAGGAGAATGGGGGGAAAGGAAGGAAGGAAGGAAGGAAGGAGTAGCAATAGCACTTAGACATATACTGCTTCACAATGCTTTCCAGCCCCTCTCTAAGCGGTTTACAGAGTTCATCCTCTTGCCCCCAACAATCTGGGTCCTCATTTTACCCACCTCGGAAGGATG